AAATAAAATATGGTGGTATTAGTAAAGCAAATGAAAGATTTCAAAAATAACTGAAAATTTCAAAAATAAAAAAAACTGTATCTAAACTAAGTGAATAAATAAATTGTCTCATCAGCTATGCAGCCCCACGCCGTGGTTCCTGCAGGAACTACACTTGCATTTTTCCCCCGTCCATGTTTCAATGAAAGTTCTAAACTGGTTTAGGGTGGAAAGTTCCCTAGCATGATTTGGTAAAGAATTCCACAACGTAGCAGCCGCATAGCTGAATGACTGTTTTCCATACCTAATGGTTCTTGGCCTAGGTAATTCCAGAGTCTTTTGATACCTAAAATTGTATGTGGAATTTCGCTGTTGAACTAAGTCTTGCAAGAACAATGGGCTTTGCTTGTTTATAATTTTGAAAACTTCAAGGGCCATGGCTCTCATACGCCTGATTTTCAATGAGGGGAGGTTTGATTTTACTAGAAGCTGGTCATAACTGCTTGTGTAGTCGTTAAATATGAATCTTAGTGCTCGCTCTTGAATTTTTTCTATTTTTTTTTTTGCAATTTTGTTCACTGCTATACCAGAGGACAATAACTGAAGTTGGACATTATAAAGGAGTGATAGATGGTAAGTTTACCCAGTTTACAAAGATGTTTTCCGACACGTTTTAACACATTTAATTGTCGAGCTGCTTTCTTACAAATATTTGACCTGGTATGAGAATTGAAGTTTAAGTTAAAATCAAAAGTAACACCAAGCAGTTTCACTTCATCCTCACAGGCAAGAGTTGAACCATTTGAGTTTAAAGTAATGTTTTTATCATGCGTCTTTTTCCCCAGTGCTATTGCTTGAAATTTTTCTGGGTTTGCCTGCATTTTATTAGCTATGGGCTTTGCTTGTTTATAATTTTGAAAACTTCAAGGGCCATGGCTCTCATACGCCTGATTTTCAGTGAGGGGAGGTTTGATTTTCCTAGAAGCTGGTCATAACTGCTTGTGTAGTCGTTATATTTGAATCTTAGTGCTCGCTCTTGAATTTTTTCTGTTTTTTTGCAATTTTGTTCACTGCTATACCAGAGGACAATAACTGAAGTTGGACATTATAAAGGAGTGATAGATGGTAAGTTTACCCAGTTTACAAAGATGTTTTCCGACACGTTTTAACACATTTAATTGTCGAGCTGCTTTCTTACAAATATTTGACCTGGTATGAGAATTGAAGTTTAAGTTAAAATCAAAAGTAACACCAAGCAGTTTCACTTCATCCTCACAGGCAAGAGTTGTACCATTTGAGTTTAAAGTAATGTTTTTATCATGCGTCTTTTTCCCCAGTGCTATTGCTGAAAACCAATCGATGAGAGTACCACTTTCCTTTTCAAGAGTAGTAATAACATTTTGTAAGATAGGATCAGATTTGGATAAGGTATTGTCATCTGCATAGTTGTACAAGTCTGAATTTTTTACAAAATAAAAAATATCATTAATGAAAATATTAAAGATAACTGGCCCAAGAATTGATCCTTGAGGTACACCTTTAAAGATATCCAACAAGGTGCTTATGTTTTGACTAATTTTGACACATTGCTTTCTGCAAGATAAATAGTTCTTTATCAGATCCACCGCAGGTGGGAAGAGACCATAAGATTTTAGTTTGAGAAGAACAAGGTCATGAGGGATACAATCAAATGCCTTGGATAAGTCCATTAAAATAGAGCAACATATTTATTTTCATCTAGAGCTCTCTTCCAGTCCTCAGTGATTCTTAATAGGGTCGATTGGCAACCATACCCTGATCTAAATGCCGCTAAATAAGGGTTAAAAATTTTCTCAAAATAGTTTGATATTTGAGTGTTGATTGCATTTTCAAAAACCTTGGAAAGAGCTGGGAGGACGCTTACTGATCTGTAGTTTCCCTTATCTAAGTTTTACAAATGAAATTGTTTTCTCTTGAAAACTATTGCTTTGACCAGGCTTTGCCAACAATGGTTTTCGCGGGATATCAATTGTTACCGTAAAAATATGTACTTTTTATATCATTTAAGATTTTAGAGGCTATAACGCCCTTCTTTTGCACAGTCCAGATACATTGCTTTCCCTCTGCAATGTCATTCGGTGTTCATTTGTAATCTTTTGGTTGTTTCCTTTAATTTGCTGATAATGTTCATGTTAAAATCTGTCCTTTCTGACAGAAGTTTTCTTTAATAATCAGGCTCAAACAGATTCTTTCTTTTGTATTTTCATTTTTTTTTTGCATCATTGACCAGATAATTGTTTTCTTTTTCTATTGCAATCTTTAAGGACAACAGCTATCCTAAAAAGCTAGTCATTCTATGCGATGTAAATAATTCACTGATTATGCGGTTAAATGTTAGTTTGTATACATGTGTATGGCACGCCAAATTCACAAAAATGAGATAATCATAGTTGCACAATTGATAAACTAAGTTTATCGACTGTAAACTATAGTTTACAAACCGTAAACTATAGTTAACGATTCGTTAAGTATAGTTTTCATCTGTAAAACTATATTTAACGGTTTTTAAATATAATTTAAGAATGTTAATTTAAGTTTATCTGTCTGTAATAAAGCGTTAACAATAAATTTTGTTGATAAACATAGATTCACGTTTGTAAACTATAGTTTACAATCGTAAACTATAGTTAAGAGTTGTTAATCATAGTTTCACAAATCGTGAAACTATATTTATCAGATCGTTAACTATAGTTAACGGTTTGTAAACTATAGTTTACAAATCGTGAAACTGTATTTATCAGATAATCTATGTTTTGCAATCGCAAATGATTGTTTTCTGTGTTAAGTATAGTTTACGGTTGTGAAACATAGATTATCGCGTTAACTATGGTTTACAGATGTGAAATGTAGATTAACGTTTTAACTATAGTTTACAGTTCGTAAACTATAGTTTACAACCGATAAACCTAGTTTATCGATTGTGAAACTATGATTATCTCATTTTTGTGAATTTGGCGTGCCATACATGTGTACTTTAGTAGTTCAGCAATTTTCGAAGAATTTTATTGATGACAGATTTGTGGATATCGCATGCAGGGAAACCTAGGGGATTTTCAATTGTGATAAATTCAGGAAGTGAGAATGTTAAGGTACATTTACCTTACTCTCCTACATGTTTACCCTGGGTGCTTCTGTGTGTCAAAATTCGTCCTTTTTGTGTTTTACAATGTAATCAAACCACTTCCTATTACACTTGAGTTGCAAACGATAGGTGGAATGTTCTCAACCTGACCATATATTTTGCACTCTCAGACTGCATGATCTTTATATGTACCTTGTGAACGTTTCCGTCTATCCTACATTATGAACAACGTCCTAGGCCCTCAAAATGATCCGTAAGAAAGCTAGAATTAATAAACCTTGTTTGTTCGGTGATCACCAGTTGTTGTTTTGAAACCTTTTGACTGGCTTTCTATGGCTTATCCAGAGGAGGGTCCTTACCACATCACTTCCTTTACCCCCTTTTGAGTGGTTTTACTAAAAGTTTAAATAATTTGACCTTGGACACCGCCTCCCTACGTCCAGAAAAACGATAAAAATGTGAGGCATTAATAAGAAATGAAGGAATTTTTCCAGTTTGGGGAATGTTTAGGGGTTTTTTTAGCATCAAAATTTTGTGGGAAGGAGAGTTATACACCCCCCCTCCTTTTTTTTTGTTTTTGATTCCTAGCATGTTTTAATTTTTTTTTCACTGACTTTAAATTAGATACTCATATTTAACTGTTCCTTTAAATTAATTCCTCGCATGTTTTATTTTTTTCACTGACTTTAAATTAGATAAACATATTTAACTGTTGCTTCATAACAAAGCACAATCCTTGCGATTGGCTACTGGTACAAATCCCTCTGCATCTTCTAGTTGTCAAGTTCTGTAATAGATCATTGTAAATGAAAGGTGGATCTTATTCCTAATAACAGTGTAACTGGGATGTGGAAATGCATTATATAGATTTTTATGCAATCAGATACTACACGTATTTGCAAAACCTACAAACTATCAAATGCAGTTTAGTTCTTGTCTCTTCAGTCTTTTAATTTTCTTAACAATATATAGACGATTCCAATGCAAGAAAGCGGTACGCTGCAATGAGACGTGGTATCCATTTTCAAAAGTTTTTTCTTCTTCTTTTTATTAATTTTCTGTTATACAAAAAAGGATACGTATATTGTATTCAATTCGCGTTTTTCTCTTTTTTTATACCTTGACTTTTCTTCTCATCAAATGAAAAGGTGAAATGATGGGGGGGGGGATTTCCACAATATAGGTGAATATATACAAGGAAATATCCCGGATATTTCATTTCAAATGCGTGTCCTTGGTTATATGATCAATCCAGCGACCTATATGTACTAGTATATTAAGGTTCCTGGTGTCTCAGTTGATTAATATTATTTTTGAAAATAATCAAACATACAACAAAAAATAATTAATTTTTGTCATCTCATTTTTATTAACTAATTCAAAAACATGTTTGTGTTTTTGTTAGTCAGTAGAATGTATAAATAAATCACCTGACCTTGAAAGTTGTTTTTGCATAATACAGCGTAAATATTTGTGTTATGCATGCAGGAGATCCATTCAGGACAGATGGGGGTAGTTTTCGGGACATTTAGCATTAAATTCGTTTTTCAAACTAATTTCATATTAAAGTGTATTGCTCAAATTGATTCATTATATTTTTTCAACGTACCACAATAAGTGTCAATGTTTTCTGTTCATGACCCAAATCGGCAAATGATTTGCGCAGCGAAAACGATCCAGTAAGAGAATAATTTAGTAAACAGTGCTTTTGCATCTATAATTTGCTCCAGTTTGCTCAAGAAGGGCCTCTTTGCATGCTTTATATGCATATTTTTAACCGTTGCTCTAATTTCTTAAAGTCTTTATATGGTCATCTACTTGCAGATGAACGATTCCCAAAAACGTGTTGTATGAAAGTCACATGGCATTGTTTACGTTGCTGTGTTGGGACACGTGACTTCTACGTCACGGTATTTCCGCATAGTGAGAAGAAGGTAAACACAGACGGAGCAGAATACCCTTGAATGTGGTAACGGATTGAAAATTTTTGGACACAAGTTTGGAGACATTCTGGTTGCACAAGCTGTGTTTGACATTACTGTATAAGCAACATTAAAGCGTAAGTACACTTTCTTTTCACTGTCAATATGTACAGATATCCTCTTTCTTTGTGTGTGTTTTTGTTTTGGAGCAGACATGTCGAACCACTTTGTGCATTGCATTGAAATGGCGCTAAAACATTTGTGGCTTACTTTTGTTTTTTGTTTAATCTCACTTCGTTTGTTAATGTTTTGTAGTGTTTATAATTGTATTGCCTCCATTAAGTTGTTTTGCTCTGGCATTTCGAAAATATGTTGAACAAAGAAAACCGCTGATCCTTTGTATGTTTGTTCCTAAAAAAAAAATAAAATATAGTGGAATATATATACTAGAGCAATATTATTTGATAGTGGGTAGAAATGTATAACGATTGAGAGAATTAAACATTCGTTTAAAAAATAAATTGCACCGTTGCATCATTACTATAAAAAAAAAAGCACCAAAAACTACCTTTCTTTGTTTGGGAAGTGTGAACAGCTGATTGGTTAAATGTGTATTCCCGTGTGTTATTGTGGGGAACTTTGATCCCTATCGCCAGTAATTAAAAATCTGAGTAAATAATTTCTTGCATCCTTATTTAAAAAAATAATAACATGGAATATGTCGAAGACTACTTTCTTTGTTTGGGAATTGAGAACAGCTGATTGGTTGAATGTGTATTCCCATGTTATTATTGTGGAGACCTTTGATATTTATCCTTCTAATTAAAAATCCAGGTAAATTAATTTAAAAAAAAAAACAAGCCAGTAATTTTCATTTTCACTGGAGAAGCAATTAGTTTAAGATGCACAGGAAAACATTGGAACTACAATGAAAACTTTTGTTTTTTTTATGCTAATAGGCCTAATAAACAAAGTGAAAGTTGTACTTTGATAGCTAGGTATTTTAAATGACAAAAGCATTAGTTTAAAAATTAAGGAAAAAATCACACAAATGGACCCCGGGATGCCATGGCATTGATTGTCGATTATAAATTATTAATAATTAATGGGTTACCTGGAGATATTACCTTTAGTGTTGATGAAATTGTCTCAGAAACACATTGATTTTCAATAACCATTATACAAAGTAAGAGGATGGTTGGTGTTAGGTGACTCAAGTCATTTCCATATTTGCATGGGAGGAGAAAGGGAAACTGCATCAATAAAACTTTAAAAAGATGTAGGCCTAGGCCCTACCTGAACATTATTAAATGCATACTTATATGTACATATTATAATCTTTTTACTCCAACTACATTTCAAAAACAGGAGTTAAAAAGCCAAAATGGAAAAATATATACCCGGTAACAGCTCTTTCTTTGTTCATTTTGTGAAGGGAAAATCAATAACAAAAGAAACTTTTAAACTGTAGAGAGGCTAAGGAGCTATTTATAGAAATTGAAATCAGCTGTGGTTTGTTTACATCGTGGATCTAGGTCAAACAATTTGAGTTGTGATAGCAGAAGCTAATGGGAAAGAGCACTTGTATCTGATCTATGACAGTGTGCACTGCGTAGTTTATTTGAAATCAAGGACAGTGTGAGGAATGAGGGGCAAACAATTAAGTTCCTTCACCCTGAGGATTAGAATACAGCCTTACCTTTTTCAGAATCCCTAATATGTCGCTTTTTTCATGATTTATATGAAAGTTATAATAAAGTATCAAATTAATTGAAATAAAGACTAGAATTCAATCTTTTCCTTTTCAAGTACAGCAGTTATGTATCAAAAGAAGTCAATCTGAGTGAATGTCCTAAGAATAATTACAGTGGACCTTCAGATATCCGGATGCCAGATAACCGGATGCTTCAGTATCCGGACGATTTTGCATCGGAACGGATTTTTTAAAATGTTATTTTGTCTTGATAGACTGGTGATTCAGGTATCCGGATGCTTCACATATCCGGACAAATTGACTGGGAACCAAAGCGTCCAGATAAATGAGGGTCCACTGTATTTGATAGACATCAAACTTTGAAAATGCAGGTCTGGTCATGATAAGGATATTCACCCTAGTAATTTTCAGGTCAGCAAACACACTTAATTTTGCTACATTTCATGTCAAAGGTTGTCACATCAGTGTTTAAAGTTATCGCACACGTTGGCTGCAATTTGTTACTGTACACTTTATTTTTGCTGCAAAGTATCTCCCCGAGTTGTCATTATGCCCCCAAGGACCAGTGTCATTATGCCCCCGAGGACCAGTGAAGTTATTTTCAATTCTTTTATCAAGGTCTCTCTTTTTATTGTTTCTATTTTTTGGCACTAAAATAATAGTGAGCATATATTCTTGAGCTGTATCAATTAGTGGTGTTGTGTTTGTACCCCTAACAAAAGTTTGTAAAAAGTGATGATTAAAGATAAACACCTACCTTTCTTTTGCATGGTCTTGTCAATCAAATGTGTCTTTCATTATCATAACTTCAAGTAATTTGTCAATTTTTATCAATTTTAATTCAAATTATTGCGAATTCAGTCAAATTTAGATTAAACTTAATTAAGAAAAAGATGTCTTTGGTTGTTATCAAAATAAAATGAGAAGGGTGTTCCATTATCTACTCCGTACAAGCAGACTATAGGTGTTGTACTGAGGTGTTGCCCTATATATTACCAGGATAAACATGTCCTTGTAAACAATACCAGGTCAATGTTGTATGTTTGTTTTCCCTTCAAAGGAATATTATGACAGTGCATCAATATTATTTTACCATGCAAGTAAATAGCCTATGATCAGTTACATAGGTTTATAGGGGTACAGTGTTTTTGCTTGAAGGGTAATGATTAGTTACCAAGAAGAAAAAAAACACTTTGTTCACAGTCCGCTAAATATAAATTCAGAGTATTGACCCATTGTTTAGACTTCCTGCATCGGATGTGATTATGACAGTCCTTGTTCAGGAATAATACGTCAGAAAGCCTACATTGTTATAAAATGTCCATGGACCGGGTATAATGTTTATTTAGTACAGATCCATGGCTTGAAGCTCTTGCTTTCTGCAGAGCTCGTAGATTATCCGGTTAATGAACGAATTAGGGAAGGTCATTAAACCGGTGATCAGTGTTACTAATAGGTACCTGTGTAATTAATGACAGGGTAACATTAGGGAATACATCAATGTTTGTGTTTTGCCTTGTTTGTGTATCTGTCAGCATTTCTTTATTCTTCCTGGTAAATTCAGTCATTAGATCAGATCATTTTATCAAAAAGGAAGGAAATCTTAAAAACTAGGTCTTTTCTGAGTTGTCTTGGTCTATAAATACCACGTACAGAATAAGGAAATTTATTGGAGAAAAGTCCAAAGACGTGTATCCCTCTTTTAATGAATGTACAAATTTAGTTTGGAAGTAAGATTTTTTGCTCACCTGAACTGAAAGCTCAAGTGGCTGAGCTTTAACATTTCAAGAAACACTGGGACAATATTTACCAAAGATGGCATAAGCATCCTTGGAAATGGAGATTTTGAATTAAGTCATATAAAGCACCAAGTTCTCTTCAAAGTGTAGAAAACAAGAAAATGCAAATAAATGGGAAGGGGGGGGGGGCAATATAAAAATCTTCTTAAGAACCATTGGGCCAGAAAAGATCAAGCTTACATTATTTAAATATATGAAAGTTTTGCAAAGTGTGTAGATTCTGTATTGTTAAAATAGTGGGGTAAGGTGGGACCAAAGTAGGGGGTCAAAGTTTTACATGATTAAAGATAAAGTAAAACCCTTGAAAGAATCACTGGACAAGAAAATTTAAAACTAATAGGTGAAAGGATCCTGAGGTATTGGGGGCCTGAGATTCAAAAGTGTTCACCTCATGGCTCCATGGATTTCACAGTGCCACAATCGGGGAAGTTTTACATAAGACTAAAAAAAGAAAACATTTTAAAAAATCTTTTCCTCTTAGAAAAATATTTTCATAATACGTACTTGTATAGTGGAATCCATAACTGCCATATAGTCTGTTGATATTGAAGAATGCCTGTTTTATGAGAAAACTGACTCAATTTGATTTGAGCCGTTAAATATGGAGTCAATATTTACCATGGGAAAACATAAAAATTTTATATATCTTCTGGAGAATAACGTTGCTAAAGTTACTCAAGTGAGCTTTGTGACCCATGGGCCTCTTTTTCTAGAAGAAACTATAAAGTTGGTGTTCTTTACAAATAATTGGCATCTATTAACCCATATACATAGTAATTTGTACCAGAAGCATATTATAACTAGTGCTAATTGTAACGGGGACCGTTACAGATGTTCCCCAAACGCTCCCCAACTCCCTTTTCGGTGCCATATTCCCTGTAAGCTTCATTAAATAAGACAAACTCTATGCATCTGAGATTTTAACAACATTTACAAAGAAGTGTACAAAAATCATTTAAACTTTAGCTTTGCACGCGTGCACATGTGAATGCATTTGCGTCATGACCATATCATCTTGTCTACACAATCTATATTTTTAATACACTGAATATTAAAGTATTTAATCCAAAATTATTTAAAAAATACGCTCATTCAAGTGTATGATTGATTTTACTCATTTCACGTGCACGCACGTGCATACATGAGCATGGTGACCATACCTTCTTGTAGAAGTCCATTACATCTATCTATGTTCTAAATTCCACCCCGTTTGGGTGAAAACTAAGAGAGTTATAGCTGTTTAAAGTTTCAGCCAATCAGATTGCAGCACATGTACACGCACGTGTTTGCATGTGCATGGTGACCATACTTACTTGTAGAAGTATATTATATCTATCTATATTCCAAATCCCATCCTGTTTGGTAGAAAACCAAGGGAGTTATAGCTGTTTAAGTTTCAGCCAATCAGATTGCAGCGCACGTGCATGCACGTGTTTTCATGATAATTGCTTTATTTCAAGTTGTAGGATATCCCAATGCATGGCTATGTTCAAAATTTCAAAGGATTTCGTCAAAAAACAAGAAAGATATTGAGACTTTCGTTACAGCCAATCAGAGCGAAGTGCACGTGCATGCGCGTGAGATCTTGCTATTTTCACCATGTCGTCATGTCTGTACTACTAAT